GGGAGGATATCAAGAACATTATCCATGAAGAAAGCAAGAGGTCACTAAAAAAAGGCCTCAGATACACACACACACACACACACATTTACTCATACACACACACCAAAGATTATTAGTGGTTACCAGGGGTAGGAGGAGGGGGGAAAGGGGAAGCTTTTGTTTGGGGGGCATTGAGTTTATGCTAATGGTGGTGGGTTATTTTGGAAAAGGATAGCAATAATGGTGGCACAACATGAGAACTATCATCAATGTCCCTGAGCTGTAAATGGGGATGTTGCTAATGTTGGTGAATGTCTTGCTGTGTATGTTTTCACCAAAATAAAATTTAAAAATTAAATAAATAATAAAAAATTAAAGTTATAAAAACCAAAAGATGGAGGACTTCTCTAGATTATTAAAAAAAAAAAAAAGATTTAAGCAAATGCAATATGATATTGAACTTTATTGGAAAAGCAAAACAATAACAAAGAAAACCAGTATCGACAACATTTTGAAATAACTGAGAAAATCTGAATATGATTATTAGATGATATGATTAAATTATAATTAGTAATTTTCTTGGTTGTGATAATAATGTGGTTATGTAACAGAGTATCTTTATTAATAAGAAAAGCATGCAGAAATACTTAAAGGTGAAATGTTATGACAATGTAACTTATTTTGAAATGATCCAGCAAGAAAAATATGAAAGGAATGTGTATATGGGGGAAAGGGGTTTTAGGAGAGTAGAATGGGGCAGGGATAGATCTTAATAAAAGGTATAAAAGATGGTCATGTTATTATCTGTCAATTTTCCTTAACTTCAATATTTCAAACTAAAAAGCTAGGGAGAATTAAAAGAGGATCTACAGAGCAGTGGAAATACTACATATCTTGAACATGATGGTGTATATCCAAGCAAGAAATCTGTTACCTCGGCTATAATAAGGTTCCTTGATACAAACCCAGATCCAGTAGAGGAGATAAGAACAAGAGCCAAGCACAAACAGTATGTCACTATTTTCCATATAAATTTATGGAAATTTCCCAAACTGTCAAATACAAATATCCTACTCTTTTTGTTTTATTTAATTCTTATAAACGTGAATTTGTTAGGCTTCCACATACTTTCTAGGAGCTCTGGTGGCGTAGTGCCTAAGGTATTTGACTGCTAAACAGAAGGCTGGTGGTTCAAACCCACCAGCCACTCCTCGGAAGGAAGGTTGGGCAATCTACTTCCATAGTGATACCACCTCGGAAACCCAAGGAGGGATCGCTATGAGTCGGGTTCAACTCAAGGGCAAATAACAACAACAACATCATGTTAAATATTTACTTCATAATATTAAAAAAAGAAAAAGTATTTACACTTTTCCTCAGTATCCCCCCCATATATGGATTTTCCCCAGGATTTTCTACCCATCTATTGGCTGTCCACATCAGCTCTTGGTTGAAACAGACGAAAAGCTAAGGCTGCTGATAGTAAAGTAAGACATCTTGAAGATGCGTTGGACTGCCTGATGGCCCTCATCCTCCTGGAGGCCTTGCCCCTGGCTGCTCATAGGAGCATCTACCATAGGAACCAAGTTAAACTTCTTTTAACTGAAATAGTCCCACCAAGAAGGGAGGTAGAGATTAAGTGTAGTCTCTGAGAGAGAAAGATGTGGCAGGTCTGCTTCGGTAAAGATTACAGCCTTGAAAACTCTACAAGCCAGTTCTAACTTGTCCTATAAAGTCACTCTGAGTCAGAATTGACTCAATGACAATGGGTTTTGGTTTGGTACTGTCCCTATTATGAAAGGGAGCTCTGGTAGCATAGTGCCTAAGGCACTTGACTGCTAACCAGAAGGCTGGAGGTTCAAACCCCCCAGCCACTCCTCGGAAGGAAGGCTGGGCAATCTACTTCCGTAGCGACACTGCCTTGGAAACCCAAGGAGGGGTTGCTATGAGTCGGGTCCAACTCAATGGCACGTAACAAAAACAACTATTATGAAAAGTTCTTTATAACAGTTAGCAAAAATGTTTACAGTCACAAGGAAAAAATTTCTAAGGTCATTTTAAGCATGTCAAAATCTGCAGTTTAAAAACAGCTGTAAGTTTTTTTTTTTTTTAAAAAGGCAGTCTTGTCTCAAGAGAATCATCTGTGAGGAAGGGACGAAATGGAAATGATAAAAGTATCCATCTTTTGTGGATGAGTTTTCCATGTGAAAATTTCAGAAATAGCTCCTTTTGATAATATACATATATGGTATAATGCCTAGGAGTCAAATATTTTAAATAAAGTTATATATATTACATATATATATATATAGATGGAGCTCTGGTGGCGTAGTGCCTAAGGCATTTGACTGCTTATGCTGATGGTTCAAACCCATCAGCCACTCCTCAGAAAGAAGACTAGGCAATCTACTTCCGTAGAGATACCACCTTCGAAAAACCCAAGAAGGGGATGCTATGAGTTGGAATTGACTCAACAGCAGTGAGGTGTTTTTTTTTAAAATAAACTGTTACTAAAAAAAAAAAAAAAAAATCTGGGTTTACCTAGAAAGAATACTCTGCAACTTTGCTAACCATAGTATTAATGTAAAACTGAACCAGAAATTTCGTGGGCATCTCTTTTAATCTAAATGTGAATATGTGGTCTCCTATGAAATCAAATGCATTTTAAATTAAAAAGTCCAGTGCCCCAATGCTACACAAGCTATGAGCTATACACTTGAAACCTTCATGATATTAAAGGAATAAATGAAGTATATTTCTTTGAAATCATTTTTTTAAAAAGGCAAAAAAAATTATTTATAGAGAAAATAGTTAATTAGAAAAACAATTGCATTCATGAGAATATCCAACCCAAAATTCTGACTTACAGTGACCCTATAGGATAGAATAGAACTACCACATAGGGTTTCCAAGGCTATCAATCTTTATAAAAACAGACTGCCACATCTTTTTCTTGCAGGGCAAATGGTAGGTTCAAACCACTGACCCTTTGGTTTGCAGCTGAGCTGCTACCACCATACCACAAGGATTCTTTATTCATGAGAACACATAGTCAAATTCAATCAAATTACAAAAAGTACAACCTAATTAATGAGTCCATTATTGAGGAGAACCATAAAGAATTTAAGTATATTGGAAAAAAAAATTATAATTTCTAGACCTCATATGCTGCTGTTGTGCTGTTGAGTTGGACCCAACTCATAGCATCTCCTCCTTGGGTTTCTGAGGCATTATCACTATGGAAGTAGATTGCCCAGCCTCCCTTCCAAGGAATGCCCGGTGGGTTTGAACCACAGCCTTCTGGCTGTCAAGTGCCTTAGGCACTACGCTACCAGAGCTCGTATATACCAATCCTCATACAGCAGAAGAGAAAAGATGGAAAGAGCTATAGCTATCACTTTCAGTTCCAAATTACTTCTAATTATTCTTTCATCTAATCAAACCAAACAGTACTCTCATACAACTGTTCTACCTTCCAGTGGTTTTAACAATTAAAACATTTCATATTCAAGACATGCTAAATATCCAAATTACTAAGTTCATCTTCTTCCCAACCCCAACCTCCAACATCTACGAATCCCTTGTTCAAATAATTACTTAAACATCCTCAATATCCACTTTCTTTTTTAGGACTAGTTTATTCTAGCTACATAAAAGTTATATCCTAAGCACCAATAAATGCTTAATTTTTATAAAAATCTCAGAAACATGTCATGTCAACCTTAGTCTAAATTTTATTTTGTTTCATATGTTAGTTATCTGACAATTCTTTTCAACTGGATCCATTTTCTCACAAATCCTTCCTCTAGTGTTTCAATTAGTCATTGAAAAAGAGAGGCATGACAGAACAGGTAGATATTGAATGTTTTTAGCCTACAGAAATAGCATTTTCCTAAATTACTGAAATAGAAAGTGTAGTTAAGTCCCACATATTGATCTGGGTAATCTTTAATTTCACCATAACTTATAACTTCTTCCTATACACCTTATTAAGGAGACATTAGGATTGGCAGTTTGAAACCACCCAGTGGCTCCACACAAATAAGACTCAGTGATCTACTTCCACAGAGATCACAGCCAAGAAAACAGAGCAGTTCTTCTCTGTCACATGGGGTCACTATGAGTCAAAATCAATTTGACAGCACCTAACAACAATATCCTAATAATGGTAAAGTTAACGACACAATTTTAACCTATTTGTATGCATTTCTGGAATGGTTTACAATGTCTGCAATTTTTCCATTGTTACTCTTTTTTCATTCATATACTAATAAATAATCATTTATTATATATACAAGTTCCCAATGAAGGTTATTATAATATGCACATTTTTAAATGAAGTCTACTTTTTAAAAGAATGACTTCAAAAAAGTGTATCTCCAAATCTTCTGAATCAGACAAAATCATAAAAGATTTATATTTATCAGGTAAGAAAAGATTACATTATAAATGTATAAGTATTTTCTTAAATTATTCTTCCAGTAGAAGCAGCTCACATATCTTTTTTTGTAGTAACATAAGAAACATCACTCCTTCAACTTGAAATTCAGACTACTCACTAACCATGACCTTCGTCCTGCTGCAGAAAAACACAAGAAAGGTGGCATCAGGCTTGGAGCCTCTATTCCTCCCTCATTCTTGTTTGTGTGCACAAAGTTCTCTATCAGGGAAAATTCATTTATATACATAAAATTATCAAAATATCTGTTATCCTTTAAGAAAATAGATCCAGTGATAAAAATGTGACTTGTACAATAATTAAAATTTTAAGAAAGAACACAGAAAAGCTCAGGGAGATAGAATGAAAAAGAAAGCAACAATCAGAGTACCTATTGTCTTTACCACCTCTCTGAGCTAAAGAAGAATGTATTTGAATAAGGACTTTGGTAGAGAACAAACAATATAGTAATAGTCTTTTTATCTAAAATGTTGTGTTTTGATTAAAGCCTTTTCATTTAGCACTTTTCTGCCTTATACCTTGTTTTTGAGAATAAATTGAGATAGGTGTTAACAATTCATACCTCCACCAGGAATAATTGCTAGCTTTGTTTCCACCAGGCCCATTTTTGCAGAAGACACTGAAAAGAAAGAAAATTAATTAGCATCCATATCATCAAATTAAAATATAATTGACTTGCAAAAGTTGACAAAATAAACTATACTTGAAATCTTAATTACTGATTAAACTTGTGTCACTATTTAAAAAAAAAAGTACTTCAAAAGGCACTCAGTTACAGAAATAAGTAAACACTCTAACACATTAAGAGACTCACACAACATTTTCTATTAAAGATTGCTTGGCAGCGAAATTGTTTTTAAAGTCGAAAGACCACCAGGTTTTTATTGTTTATTTATTTATTATTATTAGACCTGTTATTGCCAAGCCATGTTTGAAGGTTTACATCTCGCTAATATCACAAGGTCAGGAAAAAGGCCATTTCTGATAAGCATGAAATTCTTCAACTGTCTGAATAGTCCCCCAGATCAAACACCTTAATCTATGATATCATATATGGCAACTTTTCAAGACCAGAGCTCTAGTTACTTTATGACAAATGGTTTTATTGACAGCTGGACAGGGTTCCTCTCTTCATGTTTGTTTTCATGATTGCTTTAATACATCTGAATTATTTATTTATTTGCATATTCAAGTGCATCAGGAAACAGTATTAAATATTTGGAATTACCTGAAGAGTAAAAAAAAAATCCAGTGTTTCAAAGAAGAAAATAGGAAGTTAAAATAAAGGGGGAAATTATACATAGATTATAACTACAAATCTCAAGAAACAGTCACCATAAAATTATTACAAATATGTAATGATGTTGCCTTCGCTTTCAATAGACAGCTACATCAGAATAGATAGTAAGTGCCAGGGAAAGAAGAGCGACAAATATTTCTGCCTGCGTCACCTAGTTCTCAGCCCTAGAACTTGTTTTTATGTCACACCTGATGAGAGCACAAGGACACAGACAAGAGCTGAGACTACACAGAATAGTACTGACAACAATAAAAATAGCAGCTCTGTCTTCAGTGCTCTGGCCGGATAGCAGGAGTGAGGCTGGGATGTCAGAATGCATGAGTTAAAATAAACTCCCACCTCAGCCACTTATGTTACTTAACCCCTTTCTGCTCCAGCTTCCTCAAGTACAACAAAGGTCCTATCTTGTAGGGTTGTTAAGAACATTAATTAAGTTAATATACATCAGGTATTTAGAATAATGTTGGTTATCTCATCAACACTCTTGAATCACTATTTTCATTATCACCTCACATAAGTCTCAAAAAACATGCAAGAAAAAGTGAAACTAGAAAGACTAAGTCACTATTAGTGTAGCTATCAATAATTAAGTGCTTGTGCTAGGCACATGCCATAGATTAGTTCACTTAATCTTCACAATATTAAATGTCATTATCCCCATTTTAGAGAGGAGGAAACTGACCTAAAAAGGACAGGACCAAAGATTCAAACAGTTCTGTCTCACTCTAATTCTGTTCTTTTCCTACTGCTAAGATTGAGCAAAGAAAACTGTAATGACTCCATTTGCTGGGAATTTTAAATATACTATTGGTAGCATAGTGGCTAAGACACTTGCCTGCTAACCAGATGGCTGGCGGTTCAAACCCACCAGCCACTCCTCGGAAGGAAGGTTGGACAATCCTACTTCCGTAGTGATACTGCCTCGGAAACCCAAGGAGGGGTCGCTATGAGTCGGGGCCGACTCGACGGCACATAACAACAACAACAACAAATTTAAGCCCCAAAGGTGACTTTTACTAAATGTTCTACTGAACAACAGGAAACAGAAGTAAATATTTGGAATTATCTGAAGAGTCAAAACAAAGCTTATCTTTTAAAAAGCATGTTTTTTATAGTATTAATTCTCACCTGCCACTCTTATATCACATGCTAAAGCCAGTTCAAGACCACCACCTAATGCGAGTCCATCTATGGCTGCAATAGTTGGCACTGGAAGGTTAGCTGAAACAGAAAGTAGAATTTCATACTTCTTACTATGTATTTCCTTTCATATTTGCTTTTGTAAACATATTTTTAAATCAGACAGCAGATGTAGAATTTTAACAAAATATAAGCATTTCTTCCACCATTATTTCATTAAAACATTAATGATTATCTAGCATTCCCTCCCATGAATGTGCAATATCTTTAAAGCTTCCCTTACTGAATTATTTTCATAACAACTTTTGTTGTTGTTGTTGTTGTTATGTGCCGTCAAGTCGGACCCAACTCATAGTGACCCCTCCTTGGGTTTCCAAGGCAATATCACTACGGAAGTAGATTGCCCAACCTTCTTTCCAAGGAGTGGCTGGGGGGTTTGAACCTCCAGCCTTCTGGTTAGCAGTCAAGTGCCTTAGGCACTACATAACAACTTCTAGCTGAATTAAAAAAATAACACAGTTCCTATGACTTCTTAAACTTAGAGCCTAAAGTCTTTTATGAGATATTTGGTTCATACAAATTTTAAGTTGAAAAGACTGTAGGTATAATCACAAAATGATCCTTAATGGGCTACCTCAGTGTTTAGAATGATAGAGTCTTCATTCTAAGAAGTGATCTCAACTTAAACGGGAAAAAACTTGTCCAAGTGGTTACTATGGCAGAGACCCACTAGTTCTACTAATTTAGCAAGGAGTATTATCCTCGGAAGGAAGGTTGGGCAATCTACTTCCAAAGTGATATCGCTTCAGAAACCCAAGGAGGGGTCGCTAAGAGTCGGATCCAACACTACGGCAGTGGTTGTGTTTTTTTATTATAAAACAGAGGAACTCTGGGAGCGTAGTGCCTAAGGCAGTTGACTACTAACCAGACGGCTGTCGGTTCAAACCCACCAGCCACTCCTTGGGAAGGAAAGTTGGGCAATCTACTTCTGTAGTGATACTGCCTCAGAAACCCAAGGAGAGGTTGTTATGAGTCAGGTCCGACTCAACAGCACATAACAAGAATAACAACATTATAAAAGAGACCTAGGAAATTATCAGGCTCTACAAAATACCACAAGTTAATTAAGTGTCTAGATGGAAGAAGCTCTGAGAAAGACTAGAAAAACTGGGAAAAGTAGATGTTAGCTAATCACAGAACTCAAAACTAGATTGTCTTGAGTACAGAAATAACTAGTTCAAGTGACTATTATACTAACTATTCTATGAAGCAGAATCCATCTTACTAATTTTACTTTTGACTATGAGAATGTAAACCTAGTCAGGTCATGCTTACTATGTAAATAGAATGTGGATATTAGGAAGGAACCATACCCCCAAATCTCTTTCTCTACAGGCAATGATGCGACTTGTGAAATTCCTCAATCACAGGTTCATTCCTTGACCACTTTTAAAATATACAAATTTGTTGAAGTATACTGAGTTTTACTCAACTACACATAAATGAATTTATCATATTTATTCTGAGATGGAGAAGCCCTGGTGGTACAGTGGTTAAGAGCTCAGCTGACTACCCAAAATGTCAACAGTCTGAACCCACCAGCTGCTCTGCAGGAGAAAGATACGGCACTCTGCTTCTGTAAAGATTTACAGCCTTGGAAGTGTTATACAGCAGTTTAACTCCATCCTATATAGTCCATTGGAATCAACTTGATGGCGCATGTGTAAGAAGTTTACCATCTGAGGCAGAAGGAGCACCAAAAGAGGAGAAGTGAAATAGCAGAGATGGATGGAGCTTTTACATGGTGTGTATTTCACTATCTATGTCTGTCTGAAAATTTGGGGAGTGATGGATGCAGAGTAAAGTAAATCCAATGTGCTTCATGAAATGTACTTTGCATGCTTGGTAGGGGGAAAAAAACAGTTACATTAGTGCTCATTAGTTAGGAAATCAAGTTAATGTACATATGATGTCTAGTTAAAAAATCAAAGTGATACAATAGCAAATTAATCTGATTGCTTCCCTAGGTTGTCTCAAGCTACTTCAAGTGAAAGGGTACAGCTTTGTTGTCTCCCTCTCAACCTTTCTTCCTTCTCAAGGACTTGCTTCAATAGATTAACTTATTTCTAGACAACCTTATTCTACTACCTCCCCAATCTCAAGTCCCTCTCATTGAAATCTTTCCCTACACCTTGCTATGCCCCTCCAGTTGGCCTCTCTCTACAGACAAGTTTCTAGGGGTGAGTAGGGTAAATGCATTTCACCCACACCCATTCAACTCCAACTCACAGCAACATGAACCCCAGCCCCTCCAACTTTCTGAGACTGCTCTTGTTCAGGCTGCCAGCAAGATCAAAATGGGCAATATTCAGTCCCTATTAAACTTGTTGCCTCTGACAATCAGAGACATTAATCCTGAAGAGTCCCTCCTCCTTGAATTCCTCTCTTCATTTGCCTGTTGGATCCTCATCTTCCCTCCTTACCTTCTGTCTCTGGTTCTTTCTCAGCCTTGTTTCCCTCTCAATCTAGTAACTTTGCCACTTGTAATTCCAATGATTTCCAAATCTCTACTTCATAGTGAAACTTCTTCCTAAACAATGTATTTATAGCTACTTACCTACTGGACATCTCCATTTACATGCTTCATCAAGTTCAAACAACTTCCTCTCAATCCTTCTAGATTCTATTTCAGTTACTAGCACCTCCATCCACCAAGTCACCCAAGTCAGAAACCCAGAAATCACCCCATATGTCCTCTTTTCCAATTCTCTTTTACATCCACCTGTTTTCTAAATCCTAACAGTTTATGATGTAATGTGTATGCTACCCACTATTCTAATACCAGAGCTCTGATCTCATCATTTCTCATCAATGGATGTTCCATATTGATTTGCTTCACCAGTGGTGTGTTCTCCTCTAATCCATCTTCCACATTTCTTTAATCTTTCTAAAATACAAACCTAGTCAAGCTATCCCCCTATTTAAAAGTGCCACCTTCTGAGTTGGATGCAACTCAATGACAGTTCAACGACAGTGAGTTTGGTGTTTTGGTTTGGTTCAAAATTAAAATGAAGTTTTTAGCAAGGCACGTGAGGCACCTAATGAATTAAGCTCTGCCCACCCACTCAACTTCAGACATATTCCATACGTTCCATTCTCAAACCATTTAAAGCACCTCCAGAAATGCTCAAGCCTCCATACCTACACAAGCTGTTCCCTCTGCCTTGAACGCATAGTTAGCCCCAACTTCCCTTGCAAGAGGCTCTGGTTAAGGCATTTGGCTGCTAACCAACAGTTCATTAATTTGAACCCACCAACCACTCCATGGGAAAAAGATGAGACAAGAAAGATGAGGCAATATGCTTCCATAAAGATTTACAGCCTTAGAAACTCAATGGGGCAATTCTACTTTGCCCTACAGGGTTGCTATGAGTCAGAATCAACTCAATGGTAATAGGTGGGTCTCTCTCAAGATGCTACTCAAATGTCTCTTCCTCTGTGCTTCTCTGCTCAGTCTATAAGTACTCTGATTAGAGCATACCCTACCGTATTGCCCATTCTGAAACAAAGATTAATGTCATATCACTGCTGATTAATAACATCATTCTTGTAACACAGGGACAAACCACAAGAAACCACAAGGTTTTTTACTTCCTTATCCATCTCCATTACATTTAACCTGGTATTTCACCTACTTTTTTTTTTTTTTTTGTAAAAATCTCTTTCTGTTAATACTTAAAAGGAATAAAATAAATATATGCAGTTCTACATAGAAAAAATAAATAAAAGATTTCAAAGAGCTCCTAAGGCTGGAGAGACTAACAATGAAGAATCTGATGTGTGAAAATGCTGGTCATTTGAACACTGAAGGCACTCATTAAATATCTGTTGAAAGCTGACTCTTAAAAAAGAAGAAGAAATAAAAAAAAAAAAAAATGAGTTAAAGGAACCTCCAAAATCAAAATGCACGCCTGAAATCCCTATATTGTTGTTGTTGTTGTTATGTGCCATCAAGTCGGACCCGACTCATAGCAACCCCTCCTTGGGTTTCCAAGGCAGTATCACTATGGAAGTAGATTGCCCCATCTTCCTTCTGAGGAGTGGCTGGTAGGTTTGAACCACCAGCCTTCTGGTTAGCAGTCATGTGCCTTAGGCACTACACTATCAGAGCTACCTATATTAGTGAAGCTAAAATTGAATTTCAGCTTCTGAAAATTCCTAAGATATGCCTAATAAACATGGTGATTTCATTATTCTCAGACTTTCTACATAAATATGAAAACAAAGTGAAGCAATGCATATAGAAAAAAGGACTTTTTGGCAACAACAAATTTTTCTCTGAAAATACAGACTAGTGCAAGGGTGTAAGGAACAAGTTGATTAAAAATTATAAAAATAATATTCCATGGCTTCATAAGTCCTGAAGCACAACAAAAAAGAAACAAATACAGTGGGGAGATTTTTAGAATTTCCACTCACGTACAATGTTCTTAAAATTGAAACTCAATGGAAATCACTGCCTCTAAAACCAGTTGCCAAAGCTTTGCTCTGTATTTTCATTAGTTAATATTCTCAAATATTATACATAAACATGATAGTCAAAATAAAGTTAAAAAAAACATTATTTGTTTAGAAATATAACATTTTACTAAAATAAATGAACTATCACTCTCGTTGTCAAAGGCAGTAAGAAAGAAACTAAGGTTGACAAAATAAAATGATGGGGGATACATTCAGTAGACAAGTTTCAGGTACCACATGGTCATGAATGTGGGGTTGATATGGCAGAGCAGGAGATGAAGAAAAACACAAAATGTAAGGATGCTGACCTGGGAAGTGGGGGGCTAAGGCACTGTTCATTCTGCCCTAAATCAGCTCATACTCAGGTTCTCTTAATTCTAAAAGTGGAAAATATAACGTATTTCCTTGTATACTTACTTGTATACTATACTTGTATACTTCTTAGAACTAATGAAAATAATGTTTAAATTTGATAGCCAAGAATAAGAAGCCCTACCAAAACTCATTAAATGAAGAAAAGATACTCTAACAAATGGTGCTAGCAAAACTGAATATCCATT